TTCATTTTACACAGTAAAACATTGCTGTTTCAACCTATTTCACATACATATTGTCCCTAGTGCTTTGTCCTGTGCCCTGCCTGCATTTTTACTGTTCTTTCTGCCTGGAAACTGAGAAATGTCCATGGCGTCCAAAAAGTGTCCCTTTAGGTCAAAAGCGGTTTAGATCAGCTAGAGAACAGTGATAGTAAATCAGAACCACTTACAGAATTGAGTGATAATGATTCGTGGGGGAAATTCGTCATCAGAAACTGAAAACGATTTTGCGACTGAGCTCAGCAATGTGCGAACTTGGCGCTCTATTTCACATTTCAGTGTTTTTGGTTTGATTATATTATTGAATTAAATTTTTTATTATTTTTATATTATTTTTATGATTATTTATTAAATTATAATTTATGATTTTGTGTTTCAAATTTTATCCTACCCGGGATGTTTACTAGACTCTTGTTTGGACAGATTTCAGTGAGTTTTTCCTAAAAATTACAGCCTACAATAAAAAAAATACATATTTCCATGCAAAAAAATGGTACCGCTTTCAGCACCAAAAATCTGAAATAATCATACCGCCAGGGAGGTTAACCAATGATTTCCACTGGTGACTTATGAAGGTAGATAGTCTCTTATGAAAAAGTTATATATGTGAATAGGAACGTTACCCTGAAATTCCATAAAATTCAAGACCTATGGTGTAATTCTACTCTCAATTTAAGTATGGTGTGATGGCCCCAGCCCTACAGTTATTACTACAGTAGGGGAGGATGGACTCATCTAGCTATGCTATGGCTTTTTGAGTCACAAATAGTTTCTTGCATGTATTTTCTAATGTATTGTGGCCTATATTTTTCATCTAGTATACCATTCAAACTTTAGATGTACAGGGAAGAAGTTGGAGTAAGGTTGTAAACACAGCATTGCGTCCATTACATCAAATACAGCTGGGGGTGGCCATATGTACATTTCGTGCAGTTGAACAGGAGATAGATATGTTTGGTGTAAAATATACAACTGTAGGAATCTGTTTTTAACTTTTGGTGAAACCAAATTATGAGGGGCGCATATATCATCCCATTCCTCTGTAGACATAGTATTTGAAAAGGTCTGCCATTTAATCTTAATAGCTAGCGGATGTTTACCATATGTAGTGTGTAGCAAGTGGAAATGAGAATGGATATTAATCCTTTGCGGCCTTTGAGTGGATATTATCCCTTAAAGACTATAATTTTCCTTTTAGTGGGTATTCAGATATAGGTTCATTTTAGTGCCTGAATTGTGCCTCCAAGCCATTTTGCAGTTTTTGGAATCTATAGAATAAATTAATGGTAAGTTATGACTTGTCTGTAATTGCATGAATGGGTACATCATTCCCTATGCCTGCAAGAGTTTCAACACCAGGGGCGGACTGACCATTTGGAAACTCGGGCATGGCCCAAGGGCCCAGGGTCAGTAGAGGGCCCCATGAGATGCCCCTGGTACCTTTTTGCTAGGCTTTTTTGAGTTTTGGCAAGGACACAGGGGCCCCATGATCCCCAGGGAGCCCGGGAGCCCCATGAGTTGTCAGTCCGCCCCTGTTCAACACATAGACTTTCCATAATACAGGATTTGGAAATGCACTAAAGTTTGCTAATATAGTGTTGTCCAATAAGAATGAGTTTTATGAGAAGTCTTAGGAATGAAGTAAGGTGTTTAAACTCAATCCACTGATCTGCCCAGTTTCAGGATGGATAGGTGGTGCTTGCCAGAGAACAACTTTGGTGCCTCCAGGAATATGACTTTTTTTGTCTCATGAACATGTGCCAAGTGTTCTTGCAAATTATGGGGAACTATGGGGACGATGAATGTGATTAGGTTTTTAGCTGTCCTACAAAGTAATAAAAACATATCTGATAGGGCCATACCAGCTTCATTATTAGGCCTTTGTAGCGTTGCTAATTTCAAGTTATGTTTCTTGAAGGATTTTAGTACGGACATATATTTAAGTATATAGATACATTTTGGCAAAAAGATAAGTTTAATAAAGTTGATTCTGCCTGCAACAGACATGGGCCATGTAGAGCACACTTGCATTGATGGATCAATGTTCTGTAAGAAGATTGCCTTGGGTGGGCCCTTTGTAATTACAACCATGGTGAGAAGAGACTGTGGTAGTGGAAATGACATGGCTTGCAATAAAAAAGCCTGCCTGCTTTCAGTATGTGACAGTGGAACTTTAGTTTCACTTTAAAAGAGGGACAATGGGTAAACAAGGCTGTTAACTGGTATATTCGATCTTGAGTGTATGTTGAAAAAATAATCCATTTTTGAAATATTGGGCAAAAGTCAAAGCATTCAAGCATGTAAAAGGGACCATTTGACAAAGTCAAAAACCTTGGCAGTGTCTAAAGATCTCAAACCACATGCCTCTAGATTGTATCTGGACAGCTGAGCCACATGTTATTTGGTAGTTTTATGAGTATCTTTTAGTAAAGTAAGAGGAGAACCAGGGAAGAACAGAGTCTTGGAGGCCAAGGTAGTGAAGTTGTAGTTCTTATCAAAGGCAGCAGAAAGGTCTAATAGTAAGAGGACTGAGTAGTAAGCGAGCTTTAGAAGGGCAGTTTCTGTGGCGTGTGTGGCTGAAAGCCAGACAGTGAAGGGTTGAGAAGGTTGTTATCAGTGAGGTAGCAGCTGATATGGTTATGGACTAGGCATTCTAAGGTGGAGGTAAGTAAGAGCAAGAGGCTGTTCAGATTGGTGGGGATTAGTGAAAGCTTTTTAAGTATAGGGGTGACCAGTGCATGTTTTAGGGGAGGAGAAGATGTCAGTAGACACTGAGAGATTGAAGATGTGGGTACAATAGCATAGAACAGAGAAAGAGAGTAACAAGAGTGGACACAGCAGATGATAGATCAGTGTATCAGGCCGCTGTCAGCACCATTAAATCACAGCAGATCACAATGGAAGGCTTCCCAATGGAAGGCTTCCATTCATACCATTCATTGTGTTGATCTCTGTGATTGGTCACAGTGATCACAAGGCACAGACAGGGCTAATCACAGCCCATTTGTACCATTTGATTAGCTGTGGCCAATCACAACGAATCACAATAGTACACACTGAATAAACTGATTTCCTTCAGAATAAATGGTTGTTTACAACAGTGATTGTCACTATTATCACTAGCAATTATAGTTTACAGTATTTAACAAATATTTTTGGCTTCATCAGTAACAAAATTTTCAGAAATAATAATTATTACATTATTTCATTTTCTTATTGTATGCAATTGTAATGTTTGGTTTGCTCCTTTTCACTTACAAAAAAAAAAGAAATAAATTAATAGTGAGATATGTGTGGATTGAAAGGAACATGCGAATCTATGCAGTCAGGAAACATTTTAAAACACATCCCGTGTTACTAAAGGTTAAATAGAAAAAAAAAATTTAAATAACAAACATGTTAAACCCACCTGCTCTGTGCAATGGTATTGCAAAGAGTGATTCTGAAACTTCCTCTCAGGCCCCAGGGTTGATCTTGGCTCCTCCACTTCTTCGTGAGTCCCCATAGTAAGCCATCTGCTATGGGGGCACACAGTGCATGCTTGCTCCCAAACTTTTTGTCTATGGAGCTGCGCCCACAGACAAAAACATTGGGCGTAGCCCTGCCCCCACACTTCCTCCTCACTGCATTTGATTGACAGCAGCAGAAGCCAATGGCTCCTGCTGCTTCTCGATTGCCTGTGTGAAGAGGAAGAGAGGGGAGAAAAGATGCAGCTCTGCGCACCGCTCTCACATGGAAGGGGAAGGACAGAGAAATATAAAATGTTTTTAACCTTAATGCAAAAAATATTGAAAATGATTTGTAAAACAACATCAGTACTTCAGAATCTTTTCTTTTTCTAGCTACTTAAATATAGCATGTTTATTTTTTGCCTTTTTAAATATATATTTGATTTTTATCACATATGTTATAGAACCAGTTTAACCAGATAGTTAATACAGAGAAAATTACACTATAATCATCAACACACAAATGAAAAAATAACCTGTGTATTCTGTTTCTGTAAGACACCACACAACTCCTAGTAAATGCTGCAACAAAATAACATAGAATCTACAATTTCATCAGAATATTATTCTGTAAATATTTTGTCCCTGCATTGTGATAAAGTAATGGGTACCTGTTAGATCGGTGTCAGGAGCTTCACTAAAGTGCCCTTACGGTCTTTGGATGTCAAGACCAAATGTCCTCAAAAAAAGACAGCTTCAGAAGTCAAAATGTGATCTGCAATGGCACAAAATATATAAGGTATATTAATAAAGACTGGAACATTTGTGAAGAACTTGCCCAAACAATTTTTTTGCTTTTCCAAAAAATTAAAAATAAAATCTAAGTGGCAACAGTGGGCAAATTGTCAACTTTTGTAAAGATATTTCACATTTTTTGATTTCTTGTGTGCCTAAAATGCCAGGCCAGTACAAACACCCCCAAAATGACCATTTTTTTTGGAAATTGAATACTCCATTGTATATAGTAAGAAGCATGGTGAATTTTGTTGAAGTTGTCATTTTGCCACAATTTATGGAAAATGAAGAAAGTAATTGGATTTTTTTCATAAAATTGTCATTTTCTCAATCCCAGCATGGGCATACTTATAATTACACCCCAAAACAAATTATTCTACTCTTCCTGAGCATAGAGATACCATATGTGGCCCTAAGCAGGGACACATCTAAAAGGCAGTCAGTGACAACAATCTGTTTCTGTAAAACACCTTCTACTGTATATACCCTGCTGCTAGCAACATTTCACAGAAGAGGAAACTGACAATTTGGTACATTGAGCCAAAATATTGTTGAAAAAAATAGTCTCTCTCATGAAAGTCCTGCTATTTGTATCCCTTACTAGCAGCATGTATGGGTGCTAAAGAATGATTATGCAGTGCTACAGCTTTAGATTTTATGTTGGTTTATGTTTTGACAATTGGATAGGCTTAACCACCCTTATTCAGGTTTTTGTAATAGGAATATTCAGCACTCACAAAAATTCTGAAATAATATTTTATTTTTTACTTGTTTTATTTTATTTTATTTTTTATTTGTTGAAAATAATTTGTAAAAAAAAAAAAATCCTTTCTTCAGAATCTTGCTATTTTTTAGCAACTTAAAATAGCATTTTTATTTTTTGGCATTTAAATTTAATTATATATATTGATTTTTTTCCCACACATTATAGATCCTATTTGACCAGATAACCAATATAGAAAAAAAAATACACTATAATTAGCAACACACACATAAAAAAAAAAATACCTGTGCATTCTGCTATTGTGAGACACAACACAAAGCTACTGGTAAATGTGGTAGAAGACAATATACAATCTCAGCAGAATATAATTCTCTAAATACGTTAGCCCTGGAATGTGATAGCAATGGGTACTTGTTAGATCTGTGTCAGGAGCTGCACTGAAATGCCCTCATGGTCTTGATTTATTATCATTTGGATGTCAAGAGAAAACATCCTCAAAGGAAACAGTTAACTCTAGAAGTCAAGATCTGATCTGCAGAGGCACAAATCCACATGAGGCATATTAATAAAGACTGGAACATTTGTAAAGAACTTGCGCAATTTTTTTATTTTCCAAAAGTTAAAAAAAATCTAAGTGGCTTTAGCGGGCAAGTTCTCAAATTTAGTAAAAAAAAAAAATCTAATTTTTGAAGACTGGCATATTAACCCCCTTCCCCCTTCCTGTTTAGATCATTTTCCAGTTTTCAGCACTGATATTTTGGCTAACAATTACTCAATCATGCAACAGTATACCCAATGTACTTTATATCTTTTTTTGAGAGACAGATAGTGCTTTCTGTTTGATGGTATGTATTCATCACTGGGATTTTATTTTTTACCACTTAAAGGAAAAAAGATCAAAAAATTAAACAAAAAAAACTTCTTTAGTTTCTGCTGTAAAAACTTTGCAAAATAAATAATAATCTTTCTTAACCACTTGAGCTCCTGAGGATTTACCCCCCTTAATGACCAGGCCTCTTTTTGCTACTCGGCGCTGCACTAATTCAACTGATAATTGTGCGGTCATGCAATGCTGCACCTAAACGAAATTTACGTCCTTTTTTTCACACAAATAGAGCTTTCTTTCGGTGGTATTTGATCACCTGTGCGCTTTTTATTTTTCACGCTATAAACAAAAAAAGACCAAATATTTTGAAGAAAAAACAATATTTTTTAATTTCAGCTATAAAAAATATATAATAAACTCAAAGTTAGTTATAAATTAAGGCCAAAATGTATTCTGCTACATGGTTTTGGTAAAAAAAAATCCCAATAAGTGTATATTGATTGCTTTGTGTGAAAGTTAGAGCGTCTACAAACTATGGTATAGATACTGCAATTTACGACATTTTTTTGCTATACAGCGCTGCGCTAGTTTAACGGACAATTGCGCGGTCATGCAATACGGTACATAAATGAAATTTATGTCCTTTTGTTAACACAAATAGAGAATTCTTTTGGTGGTATTTGATCACCTGTGCACTTTTTATTTTTGGCGCTATAACCAGAAAAAAATTTGAAGAAAAAAAACATTTTTTTTGAAAAAAAACAATATTTTCTCATTTTGGTCATAAAAAATATCTAAAAAAACTAAAATGTCATCATAAATGTAGGCCAAAATGTATTCTGCTACATGTTTTTGGTTAAAAAAAATCCCAATAAGTGTATATTGATTGCTTTTTGTGAAAGTTTATAGCATCTACAAACTATGGTATAGGAATGGAATTTACACAGCATTTACTTTCTGACTGCCCATCACATTTCTTGAGGTGCTAAAATACCAGAATAGTACAAACACCCTCAAATGACCTCTTTTTGGAAATTAGACACCCTAAGCTATCTGATGAGAGGCATATTGAGTCCATGGAAGATTTATTTTTTTCCACAAGTTTCTGGAAAATGACAAAAACTTTTTTTTTTTTTTTTTTTTACACAAAGTTGTCATTTAAATTATTTATTTCTCGCACAAGCCATGGGTATATGTGGAATTACACCCCAAAATACATTCTGCTACTTCTACTGAGTATGGGGATACCCACATGTGTGAGACTTTTTGGGAGCCTAGCCACATACAGGAGCCTGAAATCCAATGACCACTTTGAAAACCTGAAGGTGCGTAACTTCCTCATTACACTTCCACACTACGTATCACAGTTTCGAAGGCCCTGACATGCCAGGATAGCCCCAAAACCCCCCAAATGACCCCTTTCTGGAAAGTAGACACCCCAAGGAACTTAAAAAGAGGCATGGTGAGTATTTTTCAGATCTCATTTTTTCTCACAAGGTTTTGAAATATAAAAAAAATTGAAAAAATATGTTTTTGTTTTTTTTCTTCATTTTCCAAAAACTTGTGGCAAACAAATGAGATCTGCAAAATACTTACCGTGCTTTTTATCAAATTCCTTGGGGCGTCTACTTTCCAAAAAGGGGTAATTTGGGGGGGTTAGGTGCTATCCTGGCATTTCATGGCCTCCGAAACTGTGATAGGTTGTCTGGAAGTGTAATGAGGAAATAAAGCCCTTTAAAAGCCTGAAGGTGCTTATTGGATTTTGGGGTCCTGTACTTGGCTAGACTGCCAAAAAGTCTTTCACATGTGGTACCCCCATACTTGGGAGAAGTAGCAAAATGTATTTTGGGGAGTAATTCCACATATAACCATGGCATGTGTGAGCAGTAAATCATTTAAGTGACAATTTTGTGTAAAAAAAAATATATATTTTTTTATTTTTGTCATTTTCCAAAAACTTGTGGTAAAAAAATAAATTCTTCTATTGATTCAACATGCCTCTCAGCAAATAGTTTGGGGTGACACTTTGTAAAAAGGGGTCGTTTTGGGGGGTGGGGGCGTTTTATGCCCAGCATTAGAAGTTTATGCCACACATCATTCACTCTTCTAACCACCTGAAGACCAAGCCTTTTTCTTCACATGAAAAAAATCAGTATTTTTTGCTAGAAAATTAATTTAAACCCCCAAACATTATATATTTTTTTTAAAGCAGACACCCTAGTGAATAAAATGGTGGGTACTACAATTTTTTGTGGCACATAGTACTCGCACAGCGATTTTTCAAACGCAATTTTTTAATTAAAATACACTTTTTTTTTTACTTTTAATGCACAAAAACACACAATATTGGCCAATTGTTTGGTAAAATATAAAAGATAATGGTATGCCGAGTAAATAGATACCAAACATGACATGCTTTAAAACTGCGCATGCCCCGTTCAATGGCAACAAACTGCAAACATTTTTAATATCCATAGGCAGCGCTTTAAAAGCCACCATTTTAGATTTACAGAGGAGGTCTAGTGTTAGAATTACTGCCCTTGATCTGACGTTCAGTGCAATACTTCACATGCATGGTGCAACCGCTGTTTACATAACGGCACAGGGTCAAGGCTTGTGCACACAGGTGTGCGCGCATGGGAGGGGCAATTTATTTATTTTTTTATTATTATTTTTACATTGTACCTTTCATTTTTTTTTTTCATCACTATTAATGCTATACCAGGGAATGCAAATAACCCCTATAACTTCAATGGGCATTGTCATATATTCTTTTTTGAGAAATCTGGGGTCTAGCAGACTCTAGATATCTCCTCTACCCTTACATTATCTAATCAAACCAAGATCGGTGTGATCAGATGCTTTCCCAATTTACAAATGGCGCTGTTTATATCCTGCGGAACTGAAGTGATGAAATGCTTGTAGCTTCCGAATTCTTAGACTACAGAGATAATTGGCACCATTCTGGTCTCCAATCAGCTCTATGGTCAGCTGGCAGAAACACCGGCTGCGTTCTCAGGTTCCCCTGATGGCACGGGACTGCCCGAGAAGGCCGTGGAAGGCAGCGGGGAGGGGGGACATCATCTCCCACTGCTTGTAAAAGCAATCTTGCAGCTAATTAGCAACTAGGATTGATTTTACATGAAACCCGATCACCGGCTGAAAAAAACGACACCAGGATGATGCCTGCAGCTGTAGGCATCATCCTGATATAACCATTCAAATCCAGTGATGTACCAGTACATCGCTGGTCCTTGTTGGTTATATATGCTATGTTCTTTTTTTTTTTTGTATGCAGCCAGTGGACTGAATGAAAAAATGAGAAGAAATCTCTGCCAGAAAAAGTGTGTGGTATGCCCACCATTAGAATATCTGCCCTGCATCCACCCACTTCGAATGGTGGGCACACATTAGGTCACACTTTGCCACAAGTGCCAGTTCCAAGATTGTACAAATGTCTAAATAGTGGTATGCTTGAATAAAAATTGTCCACGTATAAGTGGTACCCCATATGGAGAAATGATAACACCAAGTCCCAAACTATCTTGCCACTGCTCCCCATGTAGTCTGGGCATCCGGGGGGCTCCACGTGACTATCTTTTCCCTCGTAAATCCGAAACTTATAAGTATAGCCTGTTGTCCTCTCACAGGTCTTCTACATCTTGACCCCATATCTAAAAATATATAAGTTAGTGAGCGCAATCCGACAAGCGACCAATGCACTAAAAGGAACCACAAAACCTTTCTGATAAACTCAAAAGTACAAGGAGTGCAGCGCTACATCAAATTAAATGGCAAAAAAAAAAAAAAAATTAAATACAGTAAAATAATATCAATATAGTCAAATATTAAAATAAGTCCACTGTAATATAAATATATGGATTCCTCAGTCCACAGTGAAATATCAGACGTTGTAGGTGCAATCTGGTCTCCCATTGTGATAATATGAATAGATTGCCTACTCACCAGAAACCCAGTAATAAACGCATATCTGTATCACATGCATCCTAGGATCTTGAATAAAGACAGCCCGGAAATGAAATCCTCTGATGGACCCTCAGTGGTGAAAGAAAGGATACCGATCTGATCTCCAAGTATTTACTTCAAGTCTGCAGCAATACCTAAATCACTGGGGCTGAGACATGGAGGCTCAGTGCCAGATATGGAGAATAAAGGTGCTCATAGTGTAGTATTTAAAACTATAAATTTATTACATTAAAATCTGAGCAGAAATACATACA